TTGATCATTTTACATCCAGGTACTTGAGGCAGGTACGGTGAGGGGGTAGTGCCTACTTTATATGGCATTGCTTATGGCATTGCTTCCGTGATTCTTATGCACTAGATCAAGATGTATGCTTTTCAAAATATGAAAAGCATTCAAGAATGCTTCCGTGATTCTTATGCACTAGATCAAAATAAATGTATGCTTTTCAAACACATTTTAGCAGCTCCCTCTAGTGACACAATCTAAAAATATGGAACTGCTTCAACTCCTCATTAGTTTTTTATTTTAATTCATACATCTGGGTTAGAGCCCTCCAGATATGGAAGAGCTTGATGAGTTGATGGCCACCTAAATTACTTGCTCTCTTGGACAGCTCCTAGTCTGGTTCAAGAGTTGCTTGTTTCTATACGAGTGAGTTGAACTCAGTTCGAGACGGCTGTGATTTTGTTATCTTCACATTCTCTAAAGATTACATTGAGAACAATGTGGCTACCACGTTTTCTATACTTTGGGGGCTAAACAGAAGTGTGATGATTTGGAGGCGAGGGAAAGAGCTAGGAGTAGTTTGTTATTGTTGTTGTTGTTAAGTGCTTTCAAATCAGTTCCGACCCATAGCGACCCTGTACAGGGTTTCCGAGGGTATAAATCCTTATGGGAGTAGAAAGCCTCACATGTCCTTGGAATCAGAAGCCACATTCTAATTCGTCATTCAGCCCTCCCTTCCTTGAGAATACGGTAGTGACAAAGTTCATGTCTTACACAACCTAGTTTTCCTTAGTCAGTACACTTTCTACCTCATCATTACTGCACTGACTTTTGTTTTAAACTGAAAACACTTTAGATAAAGTCAGCTTCCTTTTATTTTGTGTTTTAGAACAAAGAATTTGGGTTTCAAAGTTTGCTTTTGTTTTTTATATTGTTGTTGATCTTTTCTTGCTGTGTTGTTTGTTTTGTATTTTAAAGACGGACACTATCTTTGACTATTTGGCTTTGAAAAATAACTTAAGTCAGAGTATCTGCTTTATGCCAACAAGGTAAGTTTTGTTTTTGGTTTTTTGCTTTTGTTTTTAATGGGGAAATATTTCCAGGAACTGCTTTTATGGAAGATGAATGTTTTCTTTGTCAAGTGCATTCCTTAAGAAAGAATGAAATTCCATTCTTCTGTAACCTCTTGACTAGCATTAAAGCAACAGAATGAAAGAAGGAGGGATGAGGAAAGGAACTACTTAGAGAAACAAAGTTATATTACGGATGAGGGGCCACCTGAAAGGCCAGTATCAAAAAGAGTAACAGAATCATGGGTTTTTCAGTGATTCAAGGATCAACTTTGTGTTCAGCTTATGAATGAAATGGGAGTTGCAGCTTTGGGAAACACCAAATACTCCACAGGTTGTTGTTGTTTAGTACTGTAGAGTCGGTTCCGACTCATAGTGACCCTATACAGGGTTTCCGAGACTGTTAATCTTTATGGGAGCAGAAAGCCTTATCTTTCTCCCACAGTGGTGTGATAGACAATACTAGTGGATGATGATAAGAAATGTAAACAGATCAGATTTCAAACTTAAGAAAAAAAAAAATCAATCTATTACATGATTTCTAAGTCACTCAGTCTCTACATGTCTGAGAAATCATTGCTACATATGTTTGTCAGTCAGGTATGACAGGAAATTATCGTGTTCCAAAGTCCAATAGTCTAAAGCTCCTTTCTGCCAATGCACTCAAGCAACCTGTGAGCTACAAAGAACTTTATGTTTGGAGTGTGTTTTCTAGTTCACTAAAGGCTTACACAGACCTTTTTGTCCTCCCAGCTCTTCAAGCCTGCATGCAGTACTCCTTCTTTCCTACTTTTGAATTCACATATATTTCTTGCTGTTGTTGTTAAGTACCATGGAGTTGGTTCTGACTCATAGTGACCCTTACAGGATTTCTGAGGCTGTAAATCTTTAACAGGAGCAGAAAGCCTCATCTTTCTCCTGCAGAACGTCTGGTAGTTTCGAACCGCCGACCTTGAGGTAAGCAGCCCGATTCTTAACCACTACGCTACCAGAGCTCCTTCCTAAGCACCAGTCATTTGACATTCTTTGAAGCTGAAAGGAAACAAAGAGAAAGCTACTGCAGTATTCTATTTTACAAATGTGGAAACTATGACACACAGAAATCAATGATTTTTGTCCAAGGTCACACAGCTAATCATAAACAGACACAGCATTAGAAATCAGATCTCCCAATTTCCAGTTCACTCACTACCTCAACTGATGATTTAAAGCATATTTCTAACTGGATGTCCCCACAGAGACGTTCATAACTGTAAATACAGTGTAATTTTAAATGTTGCAAATTCCCAATTTGTTTTCGTTGCCGATACAATTTGTAAAAGACAAGGTGATTTTGCCCAGAACCATTTTTATGCCAGAGCCCACTTCTGTGTTTCGGCTTCAGGCTGAGCCCAACAGTTTAGGAGAGTCTATAAGTATTTGCAGTCAGAGCATGCTCCTATTGTAGGGTTTAACTCATGGTAGGGTGGAGGTATCTGTCCTCTTCATAGTAGCGTAGTGATTACGAATCGGGCTGTGAACCTCAAGGTCAGCGGTTTGAAACTACCAGCCGCTCCGTGGGAGAAAGATGAGGCTTTCTACTCTCGTAAAGATTTACACCCTCGGAAACCCTGTATAGGGTCGCTGTGGGTTGGAACTGACTCAACGGCACTTAACAACAACAACAACCCTATGGACAGTCAGTGGGTCTTTTTATTCTTTAAGATTTTACTACTATTATTTAGTCATTGGAAAGCCCTACTCTTCCTTTAGTATCTGCACTTTGAGATATTCAGGTCACATTTGTTGAATTAATGAATCAACTTGCCACCATTCTATACACTTCTGCACATTTTTCACTTTTCCAATTCAATCAGTAACCATTTTTTTTATTACTACTATTACAAAGATAAAGTACAGCTAAGATCTACCAACTCCAGACCTCTACCCAGTGACTTGGAAATTTAACGATTCTTACTATTGAACATCACTTATTTCGGGCTAGACACTGTCTAGATCTCCTACTTCTTAATCTGAAGAAAGCCACAGGCATGTGTACATACTTGGTTTTGTATTTTATTTGTGTGAGCTGTCTTTTGTAAGGAGAAGATAGGGAAGGAGGAAAAACAACCAGAGAGGTCAGAGAACAAATATTGAGTGAATATTTTGTTGGGCACTTTTATGTAAGTAATATCATTTTATCTAAAACTCAATCAATCCCTCAATATTGATATTTTTCCTATTTTATAAATAACGAATCTTATAGCATTTAAGTAGGCATCTCAGATCACATGACCAGTCAGTAACAGAGACAGATTTCAAACCAATACTGCTGCCTCTAAAGTCAATTCTCATTGCAACCCACTTCACTCTCCCAAATAAAGAGATTTTAAAAACAACAACAACAAATAAGAGTCTAAGGGGAAGAAGTGTGAATTTTGTGATAGATAAGGAACTCTCAAGATTATAAATGGTAAATATGATTTGGAAACAGGCAGTCTTCAGAAATCCCTCTGATCTTAATCACAATTCCATGGATCTGCTCGGGACCCAGGTGAGCCCAGGCAGTCAGAACACTCAGAAGACCTCCCACCACCCCTGTAAAGACAGTGAATATGCTTTTTTTTTGATGCCTGGGCAGTCTGATCTGGTAAAGAGGCAAGTTGTAAAACCACAGGGACAAATTCTCCTAAGCCAAGTCCAGAGCACTGCAACAAACCTGAGCTCAGGACCTTAGATTTTCAAACAAATGAGAAGTGCAGGCCCAGTTTCAGAGCCATAGATCAAGGTCCAAATCCATACTTTATCACTTATTTGTAATGTGACCTTAAGTTATGTCAAATCATGATGTTATGTTTTCCCATTTACTTTCACTAAGAATTCAATAAATACTTGTGCTCTTGTTTATCCAAGACAAATGTCACTCTGATAAGGCAAGACACTACAAAAATCACATAAGCTTTATACAGCAACATCTCTCCACAAAAACATCTTCAAAGGTGACACAAAATCAGTTATATATACATATTATATATACAAATCATTTCAGATCTCAACTACTCTGTGTGTGTTTTCTGAGCTGGCCAAAGGAGTTGCTGGGGAAAACAGCACTTGTAACTGAGCCTACCTCATATATTAAGAGCTGATTTCCTGGAATTAACTGATTGGTTAGCCCATGTGATCACAGCAAAAACTATATTGAGGTTTGCCTAAAATCAAATAATGAAATCCAGAAAAGCTAGTTATGCAACCTCATAAGACATCTTCTGCCTGTCTACCTCAGACAAACAAAGACATTCACATTTCCACTCGACCCCATCTTGAATTCTCCAATGTGTCATATGATTTTTCTTGGGTACTGAGTTCTGTATTATGGTCAGTTGGTCTTGCCTCTGTGCAAGTTCAAGACCCCACTCGATTCGTGTAATGTCCTGGTTGTGTGGCAGGGCATGGACTGTAACTAGCTATTTGTCATATAAAAGTTAATGCATTATGCTACAATTCCTAGGATTCAGAATGTGATAGAAAGGTGACAGAATGAAATCCCTTTAATACTGAGGGAAACTAGAATTCTAATGGAGTCAGGGCCCTATTTAATAATAGCTTTATTTATTGAGCACTTACTATGTAGCAGGTATACACTTTTGAGACCCTTATAACATATTCAGTCATTTAATCTTTATAACAAACCTTTAAATAGATATTATTATTATTATCATCATTATCCCCATTTTACTGATGAAAAGTAACTCACAGAGAGGACAAACAAGTCATACAATATGTAGTAAAGCAGGATTTAAATCAAAATTGATTTCAGAACCTGAATTTTTAACCAATTCTGCCTTTACTCAAGGATGAAAGGAAGGAGTTTAAATGACTATAAAGTTGAGTCCTGTGACTTAACAGAATGTCAGTTTCTCCGTTCCACTCCTATTGAATAAAGAAGCTCTGTTTGACCTTCCTCTGACAGAGCATACTATGGCCAAGAGAGTTGCAGTGATTGGAGCTGGTGTGAGTGGCCTCTCCTCCATCAAATGTTGCTTGGATGAAGACCTGGAGCCCACCTGCTTCGAGAGAAGTAATGACATCGGAGGACTGTGGAAGTTTACTGTGCGTGGTTCAAGCCTCCTCCTCTATCAACTATAATTTGGCAGTTGCTTTGTCCCCATTCAGGCATGGTAACTTTAGGCTACCTTGACAATCAAGTAAGAGGACAACTCACTGCAGCAGTGCATAAATAAGCACTGTGCAAGAGATAGTCCACTAAGCGATGAATCTTGAGAATTAGTAGGACATGGTCGGGGGGAATTGGGAGAAAGAAACAGTTATGGCTAACAGATAATCGAATTTCACAATGATGGCTGGACTTGGGCATTGTAAGGGAAGTCAACAGAATGGCATATCAAGTAAGCTGACTGGCATTGATGCTTATAGAGCAGATGATACTCTAGGGAGGATGGAAGTTGGCTTCAGGAAATGGAGCCCCTGCCACCAGGCAGTGTTCAGGAATTTGGGATGAGAAACGGTGAGACTAAGGCAAGACTCCAGACCCTAGAAAGTTTAAGACTTTCACTTTATCAGAAGAACCTAGGCACTGCCCAATCATTGCTTGAACTGCAGAGGTGGGGCAGGGTCGGGGGCAGTGAGGGATGGGGTAATGGGGAGGGGAGAAAGGACAGCTCAAAGTCAGATCATGGAAGTGGTTTAATCCTAACCTGCCTCTGGCAAGGATTGGTTCTGGTAACTGGGAGTATTAACAGGGTCTTTAGTGGGAATCTTCCAGGCAGGTTCAAATACTAAATATTTCAGTAGAAGGAAAGAGAAATATTCAGAGGGAGCTCAAGTGAGAAACTAATTCCAACTGGTAGAATGAGAGAAAACCTCATAGAGGAGGTACTATTTGCATGGATTTTTGATAGGAAAAATAGAATAAGCAAATGGATATGAGTGGCCATAAATTTAGGATTGTAATGTACCAGGGAAAACATCCACTTTTTTGGTATATTGTGAGATTCATCAAGTCATCCAATGTTAATTCATCTTCTGCTATTTGACCCATGGTTGGTTTGATATCCTTCCCTATCTGAAATAATATGGTTTCATTTTCAAAAAAAATAATGAGTTAAACAAAAGGTAAAATGAAAATTAGATATAATAAAAATACCCAGTTTGTGAACCCTCTTTCCAATGGGCTGGCATGAGCCACCAGATCTCTGTTCTTTCTCCCATCTCACCCACCTTATCAAGTTAACCATGCCTTCTTCACAGGAAACATCGGAAGATGGTATGACCAGGGTCTATAGGTCCTTAGTGACAAATGTCTGCAAGGAAATGTCATGTTACAGTGACTTCCCCTTCCCAGAAGATTATCCCAATTTCATGAATCAAACAAAATTTTGGGATTATCTCCAAGACTTTGCTGAGCACTTTGATCTTTTGAAATATATTCAGTTTAAGGTAAGAAACCTTTGATTATAGAAGGTTAATGAATGGGGGCTGCCCTGGCCAACATTCTAATAGAAATAGGATGCTTAAGTAAAAATTTCCTGATTTTATCTGTGTATAAATCTTGTTGTTGTTGAATGCCATTGAATTGGTTCCAACTCATAGTGAGCCTGTATAGCGTTTCTGAGGAGCAGCTGGTGGGTTTGAATCACTGATATTGTAGCTATCATTCCAGTGCTTATCCTATAGTGCCACACCAGGACTCCCTCTGTCTGAATAAGACAGATAATAAATACTCAACAGTTCTTGATGTTCTGTTTAACTCTAATAGATCATTAAAATACCGAATTTCCTAATTTCCCTTCTAAATACCAACACTCTCATTAAGGATGAAATATTGAATTTTTTGAGAGGTAAGGAAAAAAGAATTTTAGTGTTAAAACCCATTGTGAAGAAATTACTACAAGCCAGTACTACGAAAATTATAAAGGGTCAAAACTCATTTTCCTAAATGTTTCCATTGCATTAGATATGGCACTTCATCTCCTTCTCACCAGGAATAAAATCTATGTCTTCCTTCTAACTGAAAGAATCAGATGTCTTGAGTACAACTTTTTTAAGGAGAAGATAAACCAATATTTATAGTCATCCTATCATAGGACTTGAGAACATGGTGGCTCCATAGGATAAGTACTGGATTGAAACCACAAGGTTGGTAGTTCAAACCCACCAGCCACTTTGCAGGAGAAAGATGAAACTTTCTGTTCCTGTAAAGATTTATAAGCCTAAGAAACTCCACACAGGGTCACTATGGGTTGGAACTGACTCAATGGCACTTAAAAACAACAATAATATGGGACTTAAGGAGCCCTGGTGGCATAGTGGGTTAAGCATGGGGCTGCTAACCAGAAGGTCAGCTGTTCAAACTCACTAGCCATTCTGCAGGAGAAAGAAGTGGCCATCTGCTTCCATAAAGATTTAGAGCTTTAGAAATCCTATGGAGCTGCTCTACTCTGTCCTACAGGGTCACTTTAGTCAGAGTCTATTTTACATCGGTGGGGTATCATGGGACTTGGTGTACTTAAAATGGCAAATGTGATTGCATAAGATCCCAAAGTATGGATAGGAAGCAAGTGCTTTTCTTTTACTTTCAGACAACTGTGAGCAGTGTAACAAAACATCCAGACTTCTCTGTAAGTGGTCAATGGGATGTCGTCACAGAGAAAGAGGGCAAACAGAACCGAGCTGTCTTTGATGCTGTCATGGTTTGCACAGGACATTTCCTGAATCCCCATTTACCTTTGGAGTCCTTTCCTGGTGAGTCATTTCTACCCAGGACCATGATTACTCTTCTAGCTCTTTTAGAAGAAAACATATTGACCTGTCATTGAAAATACTTCCTCATGATTATAACTTTATATTCATAGTCAAAAACAACATTAAAATATATATATAAAGTTACAAAGTTACTCTGAAAGGTATAAAGCACTACAAAGGTACCAGAAATCATTATTTTCTCATGAATGGAGGTGTTATTATTGTTACTGTTAAAGCTGCATCATGCCTAACTCAAATGTAGTGAATACATTAAGACTCAAAACTATCAGAGCAGTCATGAAAAAAATTTGAATCAAGAGTAACCTGTGTTATTTAAGAACTTGAAGTGAGAGTATAAGGAAATCTAACATATTTGCTAAGTATGACACAAGCCAAAAATTACACATGTAAAGGAATATTTTCACCATCCAAATTGATCACCATAGTAATAATCCATGAAACTCTTGAACCAGGGGTATAAACAACAGGGAGTTTTAGAAATACTCTCTGGGACTCTTTTGACTCTATCACCACATCCTTTTTAATACACTCATACTTGTCAATTCACTATCTTTTGAAGTTCAAACTGACTTGAAAAGTGAAAAGCAAAAAGATATTCAAACTCAAGTGAGGGAGATAATGTTAGTTATAATGAGGATTACTAAAATGTTGTAAAGCTATTATTCTTCTATCACTTATATTGTTATTGTTAAGTGCCATTTAATCGGTTCTAACTCATAGTAATCCTGTATAGGGTTTCTAATGAGCAGCTGGTGGATTTGAACCACAAATTTTGAAGCTAGCAGTCCAGTGCTTATCTTATAGTGGACACCATAAGTGACCCCAAAAGAGCAATTCAGTAAGTAAAGTTTCAAAGCTTCAAGAAATTGAAAGAGCTTTTAAGGAAGGAAGAGCTGCAAACCTTGGTGTGCATATACACAAAAATCATATCAAGTCAATTTCAAATGAACAAAATATCTAACCACCCTCCAAAAAATATATATGTCTAAGAATCAAGTGAAAACTCAACATGTGATTTTGCAAATTATAAATATAGTAAACAGTATATGGGTTTCCTGCTTGCTACTGTGCCAGGGACTAAACAGATAACCATACAGTACTAAAGGAATATATACATTGTGGCGCTGTGGGTTAATGTGCTGGACTGCAAAGTCATTTGAATCACAAGGTCTGTGGTTCAAGCTCACCAGATGCTCCTTGGAAACCCTATACAGGGTCGCTATGGGTGAGAACTAACTTGATGGCCCTTAACAACAAACAACAAAATAGCAATGATTCTATGAGAAAATGTGTTGTAAATGCCAATAAAGTGATAAAATTTTGGAATTGACTGCCCTGTCAGACGGGAAATGTCTTACCTTTTACTTCTGAACCTAGACTGTAACTAGAGAATGCTATTATAAAAGATCAGCCAAGAACTTAAGAACAAGCAGCCAGATGGCAGTATAAAGTGAATAAACTGCTAGAGGTGATGATGAGGAAAGAAGTTGGATAAGAATGAATTAGAATAGTGAGGTAGTTGGATGTTTTGTTTAAGAGCAAACATCCTACATATTTTAGTGACTGACTTGTGGGAAAAATAGTTCTAACAGAAATATTGAGTGTTCATCTTTTTTGCCCTAAAACCCAGATTTTGAGGAAATAAGAAACCCACACTTACAGCATTCAGACATTACTCCTAAAGCTTATGAGCCAAATTTTAGAATCTCAATTCCTCTCTAATTTCAGAATGAAGGGCCTTGGGGAGTGGGTAAAGTGTGGAAGTCTTATCTGCTTCAGACCCCTTGGGTAATGGCCTCTGATAGGTGGCATTTAGCATAATGGTTATGAACAGATCTCTGAAGTCAGACAGCCTGCATTCAAATACTAGTTCTGGTAGCATAATCATGGGTAAATTACTTTCTCTCTCTGAATCTCAATAAAGTGATTATGAGTATTTTCTTAGGCTAGGTTCTTCAGAGCAGTAAAATCAGTTAAGTACATACAGACATGTATATGTGCATAATATATATGTATTGTTGTTGTTGTTGAGTGCCACCGAGTTGGTTCAGACTCATAGTGACACTGTATAGGGTTGCATTTAACAACAACTACATGTATACATGTGTATATCTGTTGTTGTTGTTATGTACCATGGAGTCAGTTCCGACTCATAGCAACCCTATACAGGGTTTCTGAGGCTGGAAATCTTTATGGGAGCAGAAAGCCTCATCTTTATCCTGCGCAGAACATCTGGTAGTTTCAAACTGCTGACTTTGAGGTTCACAGCCTGATTTGTAATCACTACGCTACCACAGCTCCTTTGTGTGTGTGTGTGTGTGTATGTGTATATATATATGTGTGTGTGTGTGTGTGTGTGTGTGTCAACCTTGTGGTTAGCAGTCCAGTGTTTATCCTATAGTAACACACCAAGACTACTACATACATACATAGAGAGAGAGAACAGAGACCGAGAGACAGAGACAGAGAAAAGGAGAGAGATTTATTTCAAGAAAATGGCTTATGCTGTTTAGAAGTTGTTGTTGTTGTTGTTGTTAAGTGCCATCAGTTGATTCCAACCCACAGCGACCCTGTAGAGGGTTTCTGAGGAGCAGCTGGTGAGCTTTAACTGCCGACCTTGCAGTTCAAACGGCTTTTCAGTCTGGCACATTAACCCAAAGTGCCACACCAGGACTCCATTATAGAGGTTCGCAAGTCGCAAATCCACAGGTCAGGCATCTCCTGATTCACATGGTTGTAAGAGCTGGAAAATTCTTCAGGTCAGATGGAAGACTGCTGGCTCACATCCCGAAAACTGGAGCTCAGAGGGTGATGAATCAGATGTAGGATTAAGAGAGGATGAGCTTTGCCAGAACATTTATATATTGGTTGTAGACCACACTCCAAGGAAACTCCCCTTGAATCAGATCATAAAATGGAGGCTCATGAAATAATAGTGAGAATCAGATTGACAGATAACATTAACCATCACAGTCCTTCTTGTGTCAGCTTGGCACCAGTGCACATCTTCTTACCACACATAATCTCTAAATAAAGACAATTACAACGTAATACTTGCACCCAACATGATACAACTAACATATGTACAACTGAACACACACTAGCCCCAAGGAGTACTGGTATGGTGCTTTGGGATAAAGTACTGAATCACAAGGTCAGTTTAAACCACAAGGTGGGCAGTTCAAACACCAGCCACTCTCGCTGGAAATCCTATACAGGGCCACTATTAATCAGAACCTATTCAATGGCATTTAACAACTGAACAACAATGGGAGTGAACAAAAAAGATATTTGTTTGTATTGTGTGTATTTGCTTTTATTGTTTGTATATTGATATATACATATATACACACACATAACAAAACAAGGAAAAAATACTAAAAGCAATTACATTTCTGCAACTGGTCACATGGTCATAGCTGATATTTAGAACTACCTTCTTCCACCACCCATTGCATATTTCCTTTGCCTTCAGCAAGCACCTAAGCTGGTTGTGGTTTTATGCCTACTGGAGTGACCAAACCTTCATTCCTATAGGGTCTAGGTCATTAATTGTCATGTCAGAATTGGGTTGCTGTAATTTTCCAGACTTTAGTCACAGGGTATCTTAGTACTAAGTGGTGTCTTAGGGAATTTCCTATATTCCAGATATACCCTTTTTATTTTTTAATTCTATTATGTAAACGTACTCTTCTTTATTTCTATTATGTAATATCAATCAAAATAAATTACACCACCCCACATAGTAACTCCCTTCTTTGCCTGTTGATCTAGCCCAAAGCGTCTGGGTAGCATTCTTAACTTCCAGTTCAGAGGAATCAGTGTTGTGTCTCCTGGTGGAAGTGTTCCTTCCTTTGGAACTAAAACCAGAGCATTGGGTCACAAGAACAGGAAGCAAAGATTTTGCAAGTGGACCACTAGGGTTAATAGTAAGTGGTGGCACTCCCATTTTACCCTTTGATTCCTGAACCCAGGAATCCTGGCTATGGAAGAAACCATATATTGGGCACAGGTTTAGAACGTGTACAGCCTCCTGGAGAACATTGCCCCAGCCCTGCAAGGAATTCCCATCTAACTGACACCATAATTGAGACTTTAAAAGGTAATTGCACCATTCTATCAAGACTGCTACTTCAGGATGATGTGGAACATGATTGTTGTTGTTGATGATGAGTGCCACTGAGTTGGTTTCTACTCATACCAACCCAGTATATGGTTTCCAAGGAGTGGCTGGTGAGTTTGAACCACCGACCTTGTGGTTCAAACTGACCTTGTGGTCCAGCACTTATCCTATAGCACAGCACCAGGACTCCAGGGGAACATGATAAGACCAGTGAATTCCATGTCATGGTCATTTTGCCACACTTAATTTGCTATGGAGTGCATACCTCAATCCAAGGCAATGCTGTATGTGACACTGTGATGGTGGATAAGGTATCCAATAGATCCATAGATGGTAGTTTTGGTGGAAGCATTGCATATGCATGTCCAGAGTAAATGTCTATTCCAGTTAAAATAAAATATTGCCCTTTCCACGATGGAGGCTGCCCAGTGTAGTCAACCTGCCTGGGAATTGTGCCATATTAGGGACTCTGCTTGTTTCTGTTGCTGGCATACTTGTAGCAGTGGCTGTAGCCGGTCTTGATGAGAGCAAGTGTGTGTTGTTAAGCCCATGCACAATCTCCATCCCTGCCACCATGACAACTTGGTTCAGGATCCCATTAAACAATGATAGGAGTGGTTGGGCAGAGGCTGACTAGTATCCATAGAAAATGTCATCCAAACCATTTGATTTTTAAATTCTCCTCTGCAGAGGTCACACTTTGGTGAAGATTCACATTAGGCCCATCACAGAGAAGTCAAAGTCCCTGATGATCCAGCCAAACCATTGGCCACAGTCTATGAATCCATATACAGTCACACATCTTGCCATATCTTCTTCCAGAAAAAAATGAAAAATCAAGTACACTGCGTAGATT